TTTCAGATTTTGTCTAGGACTTTTATCGAACGTGAACCGAAATACAGTAGTCGAACAAACCAGACGTCATATAGGAAAAGGGGTTCGACTGTATTATATTGGTGGCGAAGTATTTGCGGAATGTCTTAGCGACTCAGCGATTTTTGTTCAGTCTCCCAATTGCAACCAAAGGTATGGATGGCATCCGGCGACGGTTTGCAAAATTCCTCCCGGTAAGCACAGCCTTTAGGCATCAATTCAATAATACGCGCCCAGCGGCCACTCTGATATTTATAAGTTACATAGGAATAACTCAGGGCGTTCCAGGTTGCAACTTGAAGATATTCAATAATCAAGAGTTTGCCGCTTTACTGTCGCAGTCAGTCAGTCAGGGATTTGAGGCGGTTTTTCAATTGACTAGAATGTGCACAATTAGAATGTCGTTTGTGAAAGGATGGGGCGCCGAATATAGGTGAGCAATTCACATTACTATCGGCGTATACATCGATTAAGTTTGGTGGCTTTTAGGCGCCAAACAGTCACATCAACACCATGTTGGATTGAGCTGCATCTAAACGGCCCCTTACAATGGCTTGATAGAGTGCTCACTCAAATGGGTTCTCCTAGATTACCGTGCAGTTCAATGTCCTAAAGGGCCAATTGAACTTGAAATATATTTGTGTTGTTTAACCGTTTGTGGGCAAGTATCAGAACGAATTTTCGTTGATCCGAATTAGAAGTTTTGCGTGCCGCAAGATGAGAGATCAGGAAAAAGGTTTTTGGGGATATGTTGAGCGAAAAAAATGATATTTTTTTAGATGTTTGGAGGGATTTGAATCGACAACATCCTTGTATAAATGGACATATCGAGTAAGAAAGCAACACAAATATATTGAAAATCGTTGCTAGATGTACTGCTAATTGGGGTTTGCCAAGCACATAAGTAAATCGAGCGCAATAGCCTACAAATTATTTTATACATACACGTTGATAAAAAAAACTTTTACCGAAATATGATTGACATTCGGCGATAATCCGGTTCTTTGAACAAAACCCGATTAAATAGTCTAAATATTTGTTCCTTAATAAATTGGCAAGATAGTTCCACAGTTGACATTCTATAAATCAGTGCAGTTAATCACTTAGCAGTACACCACTGGAATATCTATACTTCATTTACCTAGTAATAGTTTTTGTGTATACTTGCATAGATTTCTTTATGGCGAATCGAGAACAAATATTTCTAAAGCGTTGTGATGTTGCCACATTAATTTTTACTTGCAGTTTATTGATATTTTATAGCTTTATATTCGTCTGTTTTACACTTTTACAAAAGCATAGAGTTTTATTTATATTGTTTTTCAAATGCTACTACTACTAATATATTGAAAACGTTCAATGTTGAATTTCAGAGTTTTTCAGCAATATATTGTACACGAAATCCCGATAGTTATAGACAATGCCTTTTGAGTATATCGAAAGTGCTTTTGTTATGTTTATCTGCTTTAGAAACTCCTATAGTGAGTAAATAATGAGCCGTATTTTGTTAAAATTGTATAAATTTCCTTGTTATATGGAATAGTAGTGGTAGTAGCAACAAAATCGTTGTTAATTATTTGCAGCTTATTTTGCGAGTGTTGTTTCACGTTAACTCCAAAATTGGGTTGTAATAATTATATTTTATACAAGTTCATCAGCAGCCATGTTTTACAAATACCTGTTCAAGAGAAAGGGTTTTCTTGGAAATGTCGCAACTACAAGCATAGTTTTTTAACAAAGTAATTTAAGTGAACTTTGATGTAATTCTCTAATACGTGTAGTTTAGTTCCGTGATATTTTTACTTTGGCTCTTTTGGCAAGTAGTTAATGTTCTAAGTTTTGAACATATTATTGGTACAATTTCCATGGGAAAGTATTGACACAACCAATGGAACTCTCCAAGACAGATTAATGATGTGAATATGCATTAAAAGTTATTATTAGTTGTCCATTGTTTTTTTACAGAACCTTTTTGAATCGTCTTGCTTTTTGCTTCTGCATAATATGTAGTTTTGTAAAGGTTGAGGGTAACTTTTCACCAAAGCTTAAACTAGTATAAGAACGTTACCTTGGCTGAAGAACAATCGCTATTTGCATTTATAGTTCTAGTTTGATACAGCAATAGAATTTTTTTCGGAGTAATAAACAGAATGTTCAATAATGATTGTGGAAATTTTAGCAATAGTATCATTTTATCGTATATTGTATAAAAATAGCGTTAAAAAGCCACTACCAAACTGTATTTTACTTTTTTAAGTAATATATAAAAATTGATTTATCATATTTATTATTTCCATTAAAATGGGAAGCAAACCATTTAGGTTTTGCTAAAACCTCGGTTTTTTATTAAGAAACTATCACCTTTTTACATTCGATTTAAAAGCCTGGATCCCAATCAGTGGTCTGTTCCACCATTCTTCGCTGAAAGCATATGATGCGGTCGCCCTTCTCAAAAGTGACTTCTTCATTTTCTAGTTGCAAGCCGCATTCTGTGTCGGATTTGATAACATCCGCTTCGCTCTTTAAATGCCTCATCGAGCATAACTGGCCTGTAACGCCCACTTTTGCAGTTTCGTATAAAAAAACACATCTCACTTACCCTCGAAGATAACTGAAGAGTTTCTGGCCACCCTGAATAGAGCTTCCCGTTTTAACAGGCCGGATATGCATCGGCAGCCTGCCACTGGAACCACTTTTCGTCCTTTGTTGATTTCAAACTGTTGCAGAACTTCTGCTTCGCCTAGAATATCTTCCACTTCCTTCTGCGGCAGCCTGAGGCATATTTAAATTTATGTAGTATTTAACCAACATTTTTGTATTAAGAAACAATTGTAGATAAGTTCTATATTGTTGAGGCGGATTCATTTTTTTACAAACTTCTTTTTGGGTATTTTGCCTAAAAAATTTTTGTCATTAAAACCTTCTTAGGTAACCATGTATGACTTAAATTAAATGAACATGAAACAACACAATTATTTTGATTTAGTAAAATTAGTGCGCTTTTTTTAATTTTACGTTTTTTTGTGGATTGTTCTTTTGTTAAAATTGTGGAATTATTC